CTGCTGCTGCTGCTGCAGAAACAGCAGCAGCAGCAGAAGAAGAAACGAAAGGAGGAGGAAATGTATTGGTGGTTGTGCTGCTGCTGTTGCTGGTGTTTTTGTCGTTGCTGCTGCTGCTGCTGCTGCTGCTGCTGTTACTAGTGGCCTGGCGGCGAAGAGCAGCAGCAGCAGCAGCAGCAGCAGAGAGGGACCCTGAGCTCATATGCTTGTGATTTGCTGCTGCTGCAGCAGCAGCAGCAGAAGACAGGCAGCAGCAGATGAGGGGGGCCCCCCAGGGGGTATGGGGGGGGCCCCTACCTGTGCCGTTTCGCAGCTAAAACTGCCGCAATAAACAAAAATAAATTAAATAAAATGTATTTTTAATTGTATTTCAGATATTATTAATATAAAAAATAAAGAAGAACAGAAAAGAAAAGAGAAGGAAAAATACGGTTGTTGCTGGGGGCCCCGTACACCCTCACCGCCACCACCACCACCTGCCTATACACCCCAGCAGCTGTATAAAAGAAAAAAAAAACAAACAATAAACCAATTAAAATTTATTTGTTTTCAATTTATTTTAATATTTTTAAATAAATAAACACAAAACTCAAATAGAAGGGAGAAATAAGCAAAAAAAAAACATATGTATATACACACCGAAGTGGGGGGGCCCCCGGGGGGCCCCCAGGGGCCCCTTCTTGGGGGCCCCCACTGCAAGGCCTAATAAAGAAGAGATCAGCGAAAGGAAATTTAAATAAAAATAAAATTATAAATGAATTTAATTAAATTACAAATAAAAAATAAAGAACAAACAATGCAAAACAAGCAGAAGGTAAACAGCAAAGATAAGCAAAAAAAAAAGAAAAGAAAAAAAAGAAAACAGAGGAGATGATAAAAAGGCTTGGAGACCCTTCTATTCATCGCTTGGCTAGCTGTAGCTAGCTGTAGCTAGCCGCAGCTAGCTCTCAGCTACTCGTAGCTAGCTGTGCTTTTGCTATGGTTGGCGGTATTTAGCTGTGGCTAGCTGCAGCTAGCTGTAGCTAGCCGTAGCTAGCTGTGGCTAGCTGTGGCTAGCTGTGGCTAGCTACAGCTAGCTCTCAGCTACTCGCGGCTAGCTGTGCTTTTGCTATGGTTAGCGATATTTAGTTGTGGTTAGCTGTATCTAGCTGTGGCTAGCTGTGGCTAGCTGTAGCTAGCTGCTGAAGGCGGCAGCAGCTAAACGACTTTCGGGTGTACAGGCACCTCGATTAAAGAAGGTGCGTATACACCCCAACAAAGAGAAACAAACGAACAAAAGAAAAACCAAATAGAAACAAAAAACAGAAAAAAAACAGAAAAAAACAAACAGAGAAAAACAAAAAAACAAAGGAAAGCATAAAAAAAACAAACAAAAGAACAAACAGGACATCTTGAGGCCCCTTAACTTGGGGTGTTAGGCGGAACCATACAAATATATAA